TTACGAACGTTGCTTTGCCCAACCAACGACGACGTTCTCACAGGAAGAAGTCTCCAGAGACCGAATATCCTGAGGTCACTATCAATGTGATCGGTAGAGGAAATCCGATGACTCTGAGATAAGTCGTTCACCGACCGTCAGAGAAATCGCTAACGAGTTTGAAGGAGTCTACCAACGCACTCGGACGCGAACAGGAACCATTCTCCCTGTCAATTATCGGAGGTTAGCCAGAGGAACCAATTCCGATGATGAACACTCAGCCATTGCAGAGTCCCAATCATCAAGCTCTTTTGTTGAACATGAGAGCTCTGCCTATATGACAGAAAGCCATGAAGATCTCACGAAGAGACTTAATGAGCAGGAGGCCATGCTCAAATCTCAGCAAGAGGCCATCAATGAACTCATGGCCCTGTTGACTCAAATTGTCACAGACAATGCCAAATCTCAGAAGACAGATTCGCCACCTAGGTAAGAACTCTCCCGGAGAGGAAAAGCGTCTTCATCCCGACCTCACACAAGCAAAGGGAAGGGAAAAGTGGTTGATGACACGGCTTCTGACCAAGAAGCCCACAACCTAGAATCTTCCTCTGATGAAGGAAGAGAGACGGAGAACGAACAGAATCTCCATTCTGCCAAAATGAAAGAATTGGAAGCCCGCCTCAATGCCATGGCTAACAGAAGCGAGCTCCAAGAAGAGGGAGTTGTCAGACCCTATCCTGCCGAATGGGATGCAGCCCCTTATCCTCCAAAATTCGAAGTCCCGACGCTACAAACTTTTGACGGCACGGGATCACCGAACCAACATATCTATCATTTTAAGTCACAGACTGGAAATGTGATATCAAACGACGCCATACTGGCTCGATTATTCATTGGCACCCTCAAGGGAGTTGTCTTTGGATGGTTCAGAAAACTGCCTGCCGGATGTATCCAAAAGTGGGCAGATCTAGAGAGACTCTTCATGTCAAGATTCTTTGAAGAGGATACGGAAGTCTCCATCCATACCCTTCTAGCCACTAAGCAAAAGAAGAGGGAGTCCGTCAAAGCTTTCGTCAAGAGGTTTCGAACCATGGCTCTCCGGTGTTCGTCAGGTATGACACAGTCTACCTTAGTAGAGACCTGTCGGCACAACTTGCAGACCAACCTCCTAGCCCGAATCGGAGTTGCAGAGTGTCGTTCTTGGAGACAACTAATCTCTCAAGGCGAACAGGCTCAAAAGATTATTGCCAGGATCAAAGCTGAAGAACAAAGTAGGCAGGATCCACCTGAGCAATCGGACGAAGCCCAATCTTCTCCTGAGCAATCGGACCAAGCCCAATCTCCTCAGTCAGAAGGGGAAGATACTACGACCACTGAAGCTAATCCTCTTCAGTAGGATGCCGGGCCTCCAACAACTATCACGTTAACAATTACCTCTGATAGTCAAACTCATCAGATAATGGCCTACCTGGTGATGTGATTCTATTCCGACTTCATGGATAGTGCCCCACTAGGTGATGTGCCTTGTCTACCTCTTTTTTATTCCCCTGCTAAGTCTTCATCAAGACTGGGGGTTGGTTACTTGGAATCCAAAGTAATAAATTTTCTGAGTTGTCATGTTCAATAGAACACCTCCGTCAACCACGAAGTCCAACAAAAGGACTATCACGTTAACCGTTACCTCTGATAGTCTAGTTTCTCCAAATTCCCTCACCAATCCTCCTTAATAGGATGGCGGGTCCATCAAAACTATCACGTTAACAGTTACCTCTGATAGTCAAACACATCAGATAATGGCCTACCAGGTGATGTGCCTCTATTCTGACTTTATGAATAGTGCCCCACTAGGTGATGTGCCTTGTCTATCTCTTTTTTATTCCCCTGCTAAGTCTTAATCAAGACTGGGGGTTGATTACTTGGAATCCACTGGATTAAGAGTAACGAATCTTTCACATCGTCGAGTTAACATTACACTTCTGACGATCATCATCCCCACAGAGTATGCATTCAACTTGCATCACTCCCAATTTGTCACGTTAACAATATACCTCTGACAAATCCCACTTATCAATCCTCGTCAATAGGATGATAAGTCCCCAAAGTTGCTCCAATCGCAACACAAATTCTTGTCACGTTAACAATACACCTCTGACAAAACCCACTTATCAATCCTCGTCAATAGGATGATAAGTCCCCAAAGTTGCTCCAATCGCAACACAAATTCTTGTCACGTTAACAATACACCTCTGACAAAACCCACTTATCAATCCTCGTCAATAGGATGATAAGTCCCCAAAGTTGCTCCAATCGCAACACAAATTCTTGTCACGTTAACAATACACCTCTGACAAAACCCACTTATCAATCCTCGTCAATAGGATGATAAGTCCCCAAAGTTGCTCCAATCGCAACACAAATCCTGTCAAGTTAACACTACACCTCTGACAAAACCAACTTATCGACTCTCTCCAATAGAGCGATAAGTTCTCAAAATTGCTTCCATAGCAATATCTTTCTTGTCACGTTAACACTACACCTCTGACAAAACCCACTTATCAATCCTCGTCAATAGGATGATAAGTCCCCAAAGTTGCTCCAATTGCAACACAAATCCGGTCACGTTAACACTACACCTCTGACAAAATCCACTTATCGACTCTCTTCAATAGAGCGATAGGTCCATAAAATACTGTTAGATTAACATCACACCTCTAACAGTCAAACCCCCCAGTGAACTTGTTAATTCTTTTTCAATAAGAATAGCAAGTTTTCATTATTAAATCCCCAGTGGATTAAAGATTTTCTGGAATTATCCTAGTGATAGTGAAGAAAATTTCTAAATTTCACTCTAAGTGAAAAATCATGCCAAGTTAATACTACACCTCTGGCACTTCCAACAGGTTAGAGGTTGGCGCTTGAACTCGGCCATCGTCATATTTGTGCCAAAGATTCCTTTAAGCCTTGCTTCTTCTTCTTCTTCTTTTATTTTTATTTTTATTTTTATTTTTTTTGCTTTATTTGGTTTTTTTCTGTAAAGTATGTTGATGGCTGATGTTCAGGTTATGCTTTTGTTGGAAGGCTTCAAAATTCCATGTCTAAATTAAGGGGGAAATATCAACTGTTATATCCTAGCTTGTGGTGATTGACGACGACGATTTGTCCGCTCCCCCTCCTGTTATAACTGTTATATCAACTTTTGGATATTGGACTTTGTAAGTTATGTTCGCATCCCTCTTGTAAATTTTTAATAATTTAATATTTTTTCAATGAATAGGTCACCTTGCCTTGTTTTTCTATTTAAAAAAATACGGGAAGATGATTAAATTCATATTAAACCCTATATTTTTTATCTAATTTGTACTTGAAAATAGTTCAGCAAAATAAATAAATAATCAATAGACTGTACAAGTAGCAGAAGGAGAAGATGACCTTGCCAGCACCAAGAAACCAAAAAGTGTGTTCCGGTAATTTTTCACCAACCAAGTTTAGTGCTGGAACAAGCCCAGCCAGGACAATAGAAGCTGTTCCATGCAATGATTTCATTTATTAGATAAGTGTTATTTTGTTCAAAAATCAAATAGAAAATTATTAAGTTGAAAATGATAGAAGGAATTTATCACACAGCTAACATAAAGCCACATGCTTGCTTTACCTGAATATCATCATTAAAGAGAAGATAACTTGTGCTATATTTTGCAAGCAATTCAAATGCATTATGGTTTGAAAAATCCTCAAACTGCATGCATAAAATTTTAGTTAAATAAACTTGTAGCAATAAAGGGAAAAAACAAAATTAAATTTGGTAAAAGTACGGTAATGCGTGGTAATTTGGCCAACCTGAATAAGTACTTTATCCTCATAGTTCTGTTTGACAGCAGTCATGAATTCATGTAGTAATTCAGCATATTCCTACTCCAAAACGTACAAGGCAACAGTTTAGTAATACTAATTAATGCTTATTGTAAATTCCACATAGCATGCTAGTTAGTGTCTATAGAATCCCGTACCTGACAAGTAGCAAGCTTGTGCCGCAACCCAATATAGAACTCATCATTCAACAATTGCTTATTGTTCGTGCCCACATCAATCGTGATGGGTAAGCACTGCGAATAAATTTAAATGTCTGTTGTCTTATTTCTTATGGAAAAAAACATAAAGCTCTGCCAAAGGACTGTTTAGGCTATTAGAACTAAAAAAACATAACAGATTAGGTAATTAACATGCTTACAGTATTTGGTCGAATCCCTCCAAGGGCTGTGTACAAAGAAAGCTTGCCAACAGGAATTCCCATACCCTGGACAAAGCTTGCTAACAGTTATATGGGAAGGAGTTTGATTCATGGATGTGGACACAACTTTCTTACAAGTACACCATCAAAAGGTCTCCTAAATGTTAACTTTCCAAGGGTCAAAAAATAGGGTTATATATGTTTTTTTTCATAATATATACACTATATTTAAGAGAATTCATCCTTTTCGTTTGTGTCACATTTTCAAAAATTCTAGAAATGCCCTCACTTTGAAAAATCAAAGAAAACACACTGTCATACTCGAGAGAAATCTACAGATAATGCCCCTCAGTCTTTTAGTTCCCCCAGGTACAAAAATGTACATAATCAACAACTTAGATAATTTAGATTGCAGCCCATGCATTTACAAAGTCTGACAGTATCATTTAAGTGTTTACCTCTACATATAGTCCTATACAAATATAGTCCATGCAAGTCGCTAGCAAAAAAAGTAAATAGCTAGTATCATAACTGTAATTGAAGAATCAGTTATTTCCACCAGAATCAAGCAACTAAACACATGAGACTAATAATAAATCTGTGAAGAAAATAACCTAAAATAAAAAGAGTACACATAAAGAGTAACACACCTCGTCCATCACGGAATACTTCAGAGAAACAGACGTCACCAGCTCGGCGCATATGGTCCTAGAGAACATCCATTTTAATCCAGCCACAATTTAAATTACACACACATTTCAGAAAAATGTAGGAACTTGGTACCACCATGCGCAAGTTCCTCCATTGTAACTGCGAGGACGATCAAAAGACGAAGAATGGCCTCTTCCACCATGCGCAAGTTCCACCTGTGTAAGCACAGAGAAACCATAAGATAATGGAGTGATACACAAAACATATAATAAAGAAATCAACCTTCAAGTCCCTAAACTAAGAAACCAAAAAGCCTACCTGTAGCCTGCTACCATCAAAATTATATCCATCACGACCGCGGATTGCATCTTCAGCATCACGAGCCTCCTCAAACTGTGAAGAAAAAAAAACCCAGCAACATCAACACAGATGACCCACTCCAAACATAAAAGCAAATCTACTTGAAATATTGAGGTATAACCACATAGTTACTGCTTTTGAAGACATTCTGCTATGTAGTGCAATGTTTGCAACAAGAGGCTGTTTGGTTCAGGAAAAAAGAAAGAAAGAAAGAAACCCCAATAAACCAATTCCAAGAAAAGCCACATCAGCTTTTCTAACGAAAGATTTCCTTTTCTGCTGTTCGTTTCTCATTTGGAAAACAAGAGGAAGGATGAGTTGGCACCTTCCCATTTGTTGATTTGACTCTAATTCTAGGAAAACCATTTCAGATTTTTTGCAGGTAATGGCTTGGAAATCTTTTAAGGAGGTTTATTCATCGAACATTCTTTTCTTTGATTTGTGGGAAATTAACCAAACAGCCCTATGCAAACATAGTTGACTTTGTTGGATTACACTAAGGAAGCATTTACTTAAAAAATAAAAAAATCTAAGGAAGGATCGGAGAAATCTTCAGATCAATAAATATAATTACATGATGTAGTACCTCGACAAATGCATAACTTGGAGGCCTTGGAAGGATCTTTAGAACAATATTACGAATAGGTCCATACTACAAAAGTAAAAAAAAACAATGTGTTAGCAAAGTATACATGCTCCTATCGTGAAATAGTAGTATGCAAGTTATAGAGTTGTGGTATTTGAGTCAGAAACATAAATATCCCCATACGCACACATTTATATGCATATCTATTTCATCCTGTTACATGAAACATTTAAACATGTTGCAGACAACTAACAAGCAATAAAGTTCTGGTGTCTGAAACACATAAAGAGAGATAGTTTGATCATTGTGACGATTCATGTAAAACCATTCCAATATAAGACAATTTTCCATGTAACCTAACCATGTAAGAGTATATTTGCAAGTTCTAAGAAAGATAGGACTAAAATCTCATCATAATCAAAATAACAGGTTGGAACATGAACCCATATGGTAGTAAAGCACAGAAATGCATCTCTAAATTCCAATATCTTCCTCATATAAAATAGATTGCAATAAAAGATCAATGAGTTAGTTTCGTGCATATATGTGATATATGTTCAAAGACTTCCACAACATGTCAACTAATTTAGAGTTTGAAAAGATAAGAGTCTTGGGTCCTTGTTACCATGTAAGTTGATTCAACACGAATCACAATGTAGGAAGCGTAATGGATAATTGCCTTCAGAAAACATTAAGAAAGACACTATTACATAATTATGTTTACTGATGAAACAAAAGTTTCTTTTCATTGCAACCATCACAATCGATTAGTTGGAAATAGAAAGTCACCCATATGATAGTGCAATTTATTGTTGTCATAATCGCTGTATTATAGCATAGGTTTATGTATATTACTAAACCAGGTGGAAGTCATACAAGAATTGCATTTTTTTTAAATAAAAGCCAAGACAACTATCATCCTATGAGAAATTATCAATCCATTTCAATTAATAAACAGATTAGCCATAACATTGAGACAATTGCAAGGTTAACACTAATTATATGTTCAAAATTCAAAGTCCAAAAATACATATTAAACTTTTAATCTAACATAACATTTATTTTCATGGTACATTCTTGGCATATTAATATTATTAAAAAGTTTTACAACTTCAAGATCCACAAGTTTCCCATAAAAATGAATAGCAAATGGAAGCACTAATGCAGCTATGCTAAATATTTATGAATGAAAGATAAAATTTAGTAATTGCTATAAAAAAAATCTTTGATCTCAATTTTAGGAGACATCACAAGAGAGGGGGGTGGGGGGGAGGGGAGAGAGAGAGAGAGAGAGAGAGAGAGAGAGAGAGAGAGAATTAATCATTTCATTTGGCACCAACTCATACAATAGGAGATATGACAATATAATTCATAGAAAGAAGACGTTGGAAGGGTAGATAAAGAATATATTGGTATGAAGCTATAAGATCTACAAGGACAAAATCCTAAAGCAAGATAAGCTAAACTGCAAACACAAATGAAACATTTGAAACGTTGATCCAAAAGGACAAATTCTAATACTTGTATTGAAATATGTCAAGGAATAACCCACTTGCATTAATTTTTCACCATGGTTCACTTTCATTACATCAATGAACTTGCCCGGAGTTGCTTATGTTGAGCTAGTTGTTAACTCACTTCATTTTGAACAATGTACAATTTAACTATGTATAAAGTGTAAATCCATCCATCATGAATAGTTCTATGCATACAACATGTTCTTCTTCTTCTTCTTTTTTGGATGTAATGCAAGAATTTCTCTGTCAACTTAAGCCTAACATTCAAATACACATCAACACATAAAGCACTGAAACAAATATCATTTGACATGCGTTCACAATTACGACCTCGATTTTGATATCAAAATGATCCAAAAAAGATGAAGTTAAAAATGAAGGGAGAGAGGCCTAAAAGAAAATCCCCCTTCAGTGTACACCTAGGGTTTGGTGTGACAAAGGGAATAAAAAAATGGAGGACAACCAGCAAAGAGGCCTGCAGAAAAAGCTGGGGGTGAAGACTTCATGATTTAGTGTTGGGGTCTATCCGCAATTAACCCTCTCCTTAATGTATATTGATGAATTAACATGAATTAGATCACATTTTAGCATATATTTATTAAGATACTTGCTGCTGTAGTAATGAGTATGACAGTGTTGTCAATTCTAAAAGGATCAGCATCATTGAGTCATGATATTATCAAATTCTTTTCTTTTGTATATAGAATCATTGAAGATGCAATGCTTTCATGTCTTGCTTTTTAAACTAAGATCACCTTCAAATTACCAAACAGGGAAAATGACATTTATATTGGTCCCTAGGTGAATCTTTCATGGTTTTTAATTGAAATAGAAATGTGCGTGTTGAATGTAGAGTACAACTTTTTATTTTATTTTATTTTTTCCACGGGTATTCTGATGCTTCATATTATTATCACCATATTTTAGTGGATTGCCCTCAAAAAACCGTACGCATTCATTAAAGGATATATGCTTATGTTTGAGTATATATGGGTTTGGTGCATGTTTGGCAAATGGTCAAAGTGGCGTCTAACACTTTGATGTTTTAGCACCCTGTTGCTTTAGTTCATTTGTACGAAATGTATCAAGCAAACATCAATCAAGCACTATATGAGTACATGAAACAGAGAATCATTGGACATATTTAGAAACCAAATGGGTCCAAACACCTCTCTTTTTTCCTTTCCTCTACTTCTCTGGTTACACACCAGATATCCTCAGCAATCTACAAACCTTGTTAAATTAAACATCGTATGTAAGCAACAACACAGCCATAACTTGTCATTACAAAGTTAAGAAATCAGCAATGCTACTTCTTCTTTATATGTCACTCAGTTTTAGCAAAAGTGAGATGATAAGAGAGAAAACTATCCAAGGCTTTCAATAGTATAGATCTCTTAGTGGATGCCACTTTCAGCAAATGGATGAATTGGAGGAAGTAGAAAAGGAGACAAGAAGCCAAAAGGTGCTTGTTCCGAGAGGTGTCCACGAAGGAGAAGTATTTGATGATGACAGACACAGAACTAAAAAAGAAAGAAAAAGCAAAAGCCAAGTGATTAGTAGGAGCAATGCAAGTTTGGTATTTTCCTTTAACCAATTAGTAAAGCTACCAAGATTCCTCAACAGAGACCCCCCTCTCACAGCAAAGAAGATACCAAGCTTCATTAACCTTCAAGCTCCTCCACAATGGCAAAAGCCCCTACCCTTATTAGCTAAAAACCTACAACACGATCCACATAATAGAGGAGCAACACAACAATCCCCAATTCCCAATGCTGCATCCACCCTCCAATTCTAGATGCCATTCTAGTTACTGCTATCTAAATTAATTTATGCATAGTTACTGCTATCCAGAACTTTCCTAATTATTCATATAAAGATTATTAACTTTATCATCTCCGCTTATGAAAATAAAACTAATGTGGTGAATATTTTTTGTAATTAAGATTCAAAGTTGTTGCCAAAACTTCCCAACAAACTCCCCATACAGATACCAAAAAAGAAAACCCAATTCACCCATGAAACTGGGATTTCAAACCTAAGTTTTATTATCTTAATTTCAAGAAGCAGTCTGCTGCACAACTGCTCTGTGATTCAAGTGTGTCATTGTATTGATATAACAACAGGATCGTGTGTTATGAGGATGCAGAGGCGGCAGGTGCAATTAGATTATGCAGAACATGGAACTTATTTTGAAGCTAAATTAATTTAAGATGCACAACATAACAGAAAGTTATGCTAACTATATTCATGACAAACAGTGTGGAACGAACTATATATACATTGAATTCTGTATTACAAACCAAAAACATTACTAAATGTTATGATAGAATGACCATAATGTAGGAGAGTGTGAACTGGAACATTGAATGCAAAAAAGGTATCAACTGCCTGAAATTGAATCATGGTAACGATAGACAGAACAGAAAGCTAACACTGTTAGGTTCGTTCAGCATCAAAGGTCCTAAATCACCAATTATATATCAAGAGGTAATGATTATAGACCTTATTGTTAAAAATACAAATATATTTATTTTCTTTCATTTTTTATCCCTTTCCAAGTGATTTCTATCCGCAGAATGCCTTTACATATGACATGGGAGGAAGAATGTTAATATTCATAATGAAAAATCCAATTTATTCCCCAAGTTCTATATTTTTGCAATTAAATATAGCAGAATAAATTGTGAGAAGAAGAAAGATTTGCACTATTTTGACAATATGGAACACGAACACGATCAATATGCAGCTACTAAAAAGATGTGGAAAGAAAACAATATACTAAAAACAATTGTAAAAACTGTTCGTGGTGAAAAGCGTGTCTTTCTTCATTATTGATTTCATTGTCATCTCAAATAACAGCTTTTTGAGTTACAAAGATCCGGTCTTTTTTAGATCCGGTTACAACGAAAATCAAAGAAAATAAAAAAAAAGATTACAACTTTCTCCTTGTTTTTCGAACAAATCGCGAGCTCCTGTTTTGCGGTCGCTCGCTTGTGTGGGTTCTTTGCCAACACCGGGGTTAATCCGTGGACCACCGCGCGATCTAGATCCGGTCGGATCTACACGATTCGACGGGTATTATTTCGCAAAGAAAATAATAGCCGGGGGGGATTAATTCACCAAGGAAATAATCGCCCTTAGTTCTCGGGATCAAATGCCAAGCTTTGATCCGGAGTATGATCTCGTGTAGATCTCAGATCTGATCTCTTTTCCTCTCGAACTCCTGCCTTTTGTGACGTGGATGATCGTCGGGAACCAGATCTGAATGTTCAAGTCCTCAAGTCTTCAAAACTCCAAGCTCGATCTTCAATTCGGCAGAGTTTCGGCTCTCAAAGTTCCAACCTCTTCAAATGAACAAAGGGGGCCTATTTATAGGCTCTCTGAACTGTGCCCGCACACAGATCTGGGTCGGCCACCTATGGGTGGTCGGCACTGGGCCGAGCCACCCATAGGTGGCTCGGCTACCGAGCCACCCATGGGTGGCTCGGGCTTGGCCGAGCCCCCCTTAGGCGTTGGGTTTTCGTCGTTTTGCGTTGTATCCGTTCAGT